CAGAACAAAATGACAATCTGCAGCTCCTAGAGCATTCTTCCAGGAACAGAATTTTAGCACGGCTCTTTGGTGCCGCAGAGTCTATAGACCTTGTCTCTAATCTCCTCCTCGTTAATTAGTTATATGCATATTTCAAGTAACAAGTGTCACTGTAGGTGGTAGCTTCCTTAGCTATTAGGCACTCATTCTGTGAAATTCATTGCCTGCTGACTTCTGAAACACCTCCTTCTTGGGTCTTCAAACACTTAAAGCTGGAGGTATTTATTCTGAACAGCGATTACATTTTTATTTGGTTAAAAAAAGACTGAGAAACATTGACTAGGTTCTGTTCTCATTCTACAGAGTCTTTGTAACCTTAATTTCTCAGCTTACGCAACTCTAAATGAAGACATCTGTTTACTTCATCAGGACGTTATACAGCTAAATTTCTCTATGATTCTAAGGGCTTTCAGATCTGCAAACACACATTATAGAAATACTATCAGTCATGCCTCTGTTTCTGCCCCTTCCTCTGAGGATCAGCACAGACAGAGAAAGCACCACAAGAGAAAGGGTACAAGTGACTCTACTCCTGGCTGATGATTTTTTGGGCAGCAAGAGCAAGGCTGGTGTCCTTTTAGGCACTAATGTGAGACACATAACGTATTTTTTTGGAGTGACACCTACAGAGCAGAGATGATATCCTGAAACTCAGCCTGGTAACTCCTGGGATTCTCATCTCTTGTTTGAAATAATTAATATGGTATCATTATAGTTGGGTTTCTTGTTGTTTGTTTGTTTTTTTTAAAAAAAATATTTTTAAAGGAAAAGTAATTTCAATCAAGTCATAGAATGAAACCTGAGCTGGGACCATTAATAGCTCTGTGTACCACCCTGGCTGGCAACCTCTTGCACGGCACTAAGCCAAGACCCTCGCTCCCACTCCACGTGTTTCCAAACTCCGCCAAGGATGAGAATTCCCACTAAGCACAGGGCTGTGTTCACACTAACACAGCTATGCACAATGGTGCCTGAGACCACTAATAATAGCTCTCTTTAAATCCTGCACCGATGAAGTAAGTACATACAGTTTATTTTTATATTTTTAAAGAGAGTAACACACACATATGCTGCAGTCAACAGTGCCTGCCTGCTCAGAGAAGATACAGATACGTTCGACTTTTGCTTCCAAGGACACTAGTGTGGGCGTCTCTCCCCGCATATCCTCTGGTAACACCAAGAAGAATTGCGGTTCTACTGGTAGATGACCCTCTGTGGAGGGCACAGCAGGTTAATTACATTATTAACAGCAATCACCATCCTTGTGCTGCTGTGCTATGTGGAGCTACATGTAAGTTCTGCATGTAAGAATTCATTTTGTAATAAGCAATATGAAACTCACATTAATCCAAGGGTGATTCATAAATTGAGAAACTGTCATCCTCTCTGTTGGGTCAGTCTTCAGTAAATGGCGAATCAGTTGTTTGGCTGAAAAACAGGACCAACATGGCATGTTGCAGTCTACTGCTGTGCTCCCAAATAACCTTGAGAACACATAGACGTGCTGAATGAAGAAAGATAATTTTGCAGAACTCAAACCACCTACCTATTGCTGTTACCATGTTAAGGGGCTTATGTGCAGTGTGGTAGGCTACTATGTTTAAAGAGGCAGACACAAAACCATTCAAAACAAGAGGCAAGAAGGAAAGACAAGGGATTGGGGATTCCAGTTATGCTTATCTATATCACCAAACCAATTGTGTTTAGAGCAAGAACTTGAGAAAAAGAGAAATATAGGAACAGAAAGCTGCCAAGCCGCCTGTCTGAAAGATGGCGACAAGATTGGCATATGGGCTGAACAAATGCACAAGCTGATGTTTTGAGAAATAATAGAAGACAAAAACTAGCACAGGCTGGGGAGAAGAGGAAGGAAATCAAACTTTTCTTTGACAACTGAGAGGCCACTAAAAGGACAACAAAGTCAGAGAAATGGGTTGCACAAACAGGCTTTGCAGCAGCTTTCTGTAAATACTACTCTGCCAAAGCAAGACTAGTAAGTAACTGAGAGATGATGAGAGTCTACACAAAAGTTTCATTAATGCAGGCAGACAGACTGGAAAGACAGCATCCAAGGGATGTTATTTAGAAAGACTTACAAGTAACTTCCTTGGGGAAACCTAGAAAAACTTCTGAATAAGAGTTCTCTTTTAGAAACACTGAATGCAAGATGACTAAATGTTTGTAAGAAGCTGCCAGAGGTACAAGTCAAGACTTCAGCTTGCTGATAGAGGCTGCAAAGGAGTTTTACAGTAGAGATTACCTGGAGTTTAAGATGTACAAGGAAACAAAAGGAAGGGACTGCAAACAGAGCCCATTAAGATGATTACAGGAAGCTGGAGGGGAATTTAGAGGAAGCCTCCATAGATAATGCAACCACGGAATGATTAGATAAAAAAAAACATGATAAGAACAGTACAAAAGAGGGCAAAAAGAGCCGTCTGCTGAAGGTGCCTGATTCGCCTAAAAGAATACAGATAAACTAGGCGATTTTAATAGGTTCAGAGGTAGAGGGCATCCGTCTTCATTCAGGCAAGCACATAGAAGCCCTATGAATTTTCCAAGTGCATGAGCCCTCACCAAATTCCCCTAGCATTTTCATAACTGCTTTGATATGAACAAGACCCAAGGCAGACAAAATATTAAGCCAGAAACCCACAAGTAAAACATCTTCCTTATTAACATTCAGCAGTCTATGCTGCCCATGCAGCTGTAAGATCCAATGAGAGGTTAAAATGCCGCAGTATTATCTAATGATAATTTGTTATTGCTAAACAGCAGACAGTAACAGGATGCTAGTGATAGCAATATAAAGGGCTTGTTAGAAAACCAGATGTGCCCAGAGGTTGCTAACATTTCTCTCTAATGTGACAGGCAGGTGAAATTTCCAGCTTAGGAGACTGTTAGAGTAAGAGGGAATCAAAACCACCCACTTCCAGGACATTGGTTTGAGCCCATCCAGGTCACAGCTGAGCAGCAGCAGCTTTTGGTCAGTGACTTATACAAAATAAATTGTTGACCTTGATTTAAGTGGTGGCTGGCAAGTCCCCACATCACAAAATGCTAGCATGAAAACTTGCCATCCTTGCTGGCTGTATCACTAAGGAGGGCAAAGACTGAATGAGTTCTTAAGACAGTTTGCCTTTCTTCCAACTCAGCTTGCATTGCAGCTGCCCTGGCAGTCTCCTTTCTCAGGATTAAAGACTTTTGTTTCCAGAGGGTTTAATCTCAGCATTCACTAGCACTAGCTGGAATTTGAAAGAAAGTTTTCAGTCATCATTTACTTTCTGGAGTACTTGGGTTGCTGGCAAGAATTTGTGTTCCCAGTCATTCTCTGTATCACCTTACAAAAAATTAATTTAAATTCTAAAAGAAAGGGAAGTAAAACCTAAGGCAGATTTTTAGAGATAGTCTCTTGTAAGCTCTCCACCGCTGCTCAACACCATGCACATATTCATCAGTAGCAGCGAGCATTGTTACCTTCCTCTGATACTTCTGCCCACTCTGGATTGGGAAACCCATATTGTCCCATTCGAATTCTTCTCTTCATCCCTGGAGAAATGGCTTGACCAGTGTTTGAGTAGAATGGAGGGAACCCACACAGGCTGTAAGAGTGGAAAAAGAACTCTTATAACTAGGAAAGTCCTTTCATCTCTTAAAAAGTCACATACAAGGTTATATGCTTCTGCAGATTGCATGATCCTAGTGACTAATTACTTGTAAGTGCAGATTTGATGTGTCCTTTTTCTGTTCATCAAGTCTCTTTTCAAATACTTACAGAATATATGTGATGACACCCAATGACCACATGTCACATGATTTATCGTACTTCTCAGGACCAAGGACTTCTGGGGCTGAAGAAGATTAAAAGCAGAAATTAACAGAGCACCAGATACTTCCTTTCATCTTCATCACCTTATAAGTAGCAGCACACTTCAACAACAAATACTGGAGGTATTAAAAAACGCAACTCAGTGCTGGAAGGGAGTAGTATTTTCTATTGGCAAGTCCCTAAACAAATCCAATGCAGCTTTAAAAGGCAGGAAGAGAGCTGGCAAAATGCCCTACTCTTCACCTTAGTGTCTCTCTGCTCAAAAGAGTACTAAGATTACAGAAAAGCAGAAGGAGCTGTAGCTAAATGTGTACAGGGAGACACTGCACTGAAAGAAGCAGGAGCATATGTTCAAAAAATCAGAACAGAAAGGACCTACTTAAGCTGTGATAAGATTTTGAATGATACCGAGGTGGAGCGTGTTTAGCTCCAGCAACTACAGAGCACTGTATTCCTCTTTGGCCTCCAGAGCATTTTATTTTTTCACTAAGTAACAAAATTATGAAGAGATACAATCAGAGGCAATGTTTTTTTCCCTGGGGCAGGTGAACTGGCAAGGAGTTTGATTTTGTAAGGAAAATGATTCTCTAAATACATGAGCAATCATGCTGGTTTATAAAAAGGTGTTGAGAAGGGAAAGGTCATCTTATTTATATACAAATATAAAGGCATAAAAACACATATGCACAAATTCTTTAACATCTTGTCACTAATCCCAGTTTACAAAAATACAGAAGAAAGCATCAGAAAAAAATTATTGCTGCCACAATTATCTGTTAACAATGAATAACAAGATCTTTCAATACAAAAAACTAAAAAAACTTACATCGCAGTAGAGAACTAATTCTTCCAAAAAAATTAAGCCCCTGTTCCTCCAAAGAAACTCCAAGCACGGACTGCCTCAGCCATACCACATGGTGAATGACTATTAACTTGACGACCAAAAGTGACGTACTCTAAAATAAGTACATAAAGGATAGTCTACTGTGGCATTCATTACACAGTGCTCTGTCTTTGGACAAAATGCAGGCAGAAATTCAGCTGTGATTAAGTCAAATTGGTCTTTTATTACTAATTCCTCCATTTGCCAGCTTAAAGAAGCTTTACACCTGAGGCAACGCTCTCCCTGTTCTCTTCTATCATGTTAGTTAAGCTATGGGAAGTTTTGCAAGTGAACACCCAAGCTGAGTTTGAATTATGGATTTTATTGCATCATTCAGAGGAAACATCAGGATTATTTCAAGAGTGATCAGAAGCAACATGTTCTCTCTCCTTGATCCTCATTTGCATCCCCTGTTAAGGCTGTTTCCTCTGCAGCCAAGGAAGGAAGCAGGAGCACTGACCTGTACTGGAATTAGGCTAGTTTTGAGTTGGATCCTACTTCAAGCTCTGTGAAGAGGTATTGTGTTACAGCCACAAGAGAATATTCCTCATCCATTCCTACAGCCCACTCTAAGGGGAAAGATGACAGACTGAAGCACAGAAGCAATGCATCTTGGATAACTTACCCACATAATAAGGAGTGTAACAGGGGGTCTGCAGCGCATTTTGTACAGTGGTTTCTTTGGCAAAGCCGAAATCTGTGAGTTTGAGTACAGAATCCTTCTCTTTCGACGTGTAAAGCAAGTTTTCAGGCTGAAAAGCCACGAAGAGAAAGGATAAACTGGACAATGAAGAGATGTCTCTAACAAGCTGAAAGGTCAAACCAGTCCCACTGGACTTTCCCACATCTGGACTTTCTCATTTCTCTCACATGCTCACCATGCCACACTGAAACATGTAGTTTCCTGACATGTACTGGGTTTGCTCAGACTAAGGATCAATACGCTTCTCAGCGTGGTATTTAGGAGAGCAAATCACAAGACTCTCATCAGGCCCAATGTGTGGCAAGTCTGGCTTCTTGCACCTCTCTCTAGTTCACTGCACTTATCAGGATTGTTCTGTCTGATCAAGTGTGTCGACAGCACCCTGTACCGCGCTCAAGTAGCTGAGGTGGAAGACAAGAGGAGTCATCAGCCAAAGCCTCCATCAGAATTAACAGAGACAGATGCAGGCCCCTTGCTGCTTCCCCCTCCCTCGTCTCCTGAAACTCGAGTTAAATCCATTCTTGCTCCACACTCCACAAAGGCTCTCCAAGATCAGAAGTGGCACAGAGGGAACCAGAGCAGGGACAACGGCACATCCCCGGAATCTGCTACTGCTTGAACTTGCCCTCCAGTTTCTCAGTCATAAGGAAGCTATGCCCTCTCTCACGGCAGTGTTTAGGGACATACAGAAGGAAGGGCTGGAAAGGAAACAGGATTTAGGAGCTATTAAGCAATTTGAATCATTTCTATGTTAGTTCACTGAGTGTGTAAGGGATGTTTAGGGCTAAGTGCTTCACTTTCTGTGCTGGTGATAGGTAACAGCACATAGCCCACAAAAGTGAAAAGATGTTAGTCTCTGAACTGTTAACTCATTCTCCAGTTCCTACCTAAAGGACCCTCAAACACACTCCCAGTGACACTAAGCAATGGCACTTCTTGCTCAAGCCAAACAAACAGAAGCATCTGTAGAAAATTCACAAACTCAGAACTGCAGAATCAATCAGATGCCTCAGTCTTATCACTGCGTGACCTGCTCTCCAGCACATTCCATGACACTGCCGTATCGCTGTGCTAGAAGTGCCTTGGTGCAGCGCATCTTGTCTTTGCTTACGCTGTGCACTTCACAGAATGAAAACACAATACAATACTACAAACCCTGTCTGGGTACAAATTTTAGCTAAAAAACCCCACACTGTTCCATGTGGTAATAACTGAAATCTTCCCATTTTCCCCAAGATCTACATATACTATTAAAGTGCGTTGGGTGCATGGAATTGGTATTATTTCTCCTATATATGCAGTTTCTCCTGTTTCTGAAAGGGGTTTTGGTGTTTGCTTGGTTGTTTTTTTTGTTTCAGGGGTTTTTTTGTGTTTTTTTTTTCAGGCGAGTGCGATTTTGAAAACAAGTAATAACTGGCAAAGACTGTATGTAGAGACATAGCATCTAGTGTAAGTTCACTTCAGGCAGTGCTATTTTCCTGTTAATTAACTGGATTGTAAGTTGGTAGCACCTCTTTAATTAACCACCTGACTATACCCAGATTCTTCTGCATTCCATACACAACTGGAAGGCATTAGTCTACACAAATATTCTAACCTTTGATGAGCTCAAACTAGTTGTGAACAGATTTCTTCTCACTCTGGAAGAGGCATGTGAACACTCTGAGCACATGATTGTACTCCTAGTTCTATTTAAACCACCATGGCCCATTTATTTTTCAGCGTTATGTTCTTTTCTCCCTGCCCACACACCTTCAGGCCTCACCTTGACATCTCTATGGGCAATGTTCATTGAATGCAGATACTGGATGGCTGTTCCGATGTCTCTCATTATTTCAGAAGCCTCTATAAATACAATTTTAGAGAAAGGTCACATTAACATTCCCACTGTAACTCAGGGACATGCTTGGGAATGCTTATGACTTACAAACAGCTTGCTGGAATACAGGGCTAGCGTCAAGACTAGAAAACCTAAAATTAGCCTCAACAGCTGTGTTTTGGTTTTGCAGGCAACCATACCCCCAGTTCCCGCACTGCTCAGCCTTCCTCCTGAACAGGCACTGCAACTGAATAGATGAGACTCCAGGTTTTTATGAGCTTGTAAATTTGGGCTTTCATTTGTTCCCCAGAAAAGCAGCAGAAGCAGAGCTGGTCAGCAAGCAACATGCAAGACTGTGGAGAAAGGAGCCCCAACCAGGACATATCTGTGATTGTCCAGGCCATGTCCTTGGTTGTTCAAGACAGAAGTTTAACTTTGAGCTTCTCGTGCAGGGGTAATAGGAGGATCTAACAGATTTTCTAAAACTAGAGGAACATAACATAGCAATTTCAGGATTGGTAACATCTTCATTCCTGTCTTTAGAAGTTTTTCCTCAGGAGAAACAAAATCAACGGCTCTATTCTGCAAAGCCCAAACTGCCCCCTTCGAAATAATATGTTTCTAAAATTTAACTTAACAGCAGTGGGAAGTTCTAGAGGTTGGTGAGCTGCCTTGCAACAGCAGTATTCTTGAAGTCTGGGAGAGTCCAGTTACACAGAAGAGGCTTCAGAGCACGGACGAGTGACATTCCCATTGTATGAAGTGAGCATTATATTACCTCTCCATTGACAGGGAAACAATTAGCAACTTCAACCCGATCCTCTGTTTCCTGCACAAGTAGACACCTCAGCTGCAGTAGCAAGAGAGAAGGCAGAAATTCTTGTACCGCAGCCTGGAATCCTTTTTCACATGGCTCGAGATTGAAATTACACAATCTCAGGCAAGGACAATCCGAAGGCAGAAAACCTTTGGGCAAAATGTTGCACAGCCTCCTCCCCGTGGTGCAGGCCAAATTGGAAGTTGTGGCTGGTACAGAAACACGGAGTGAACCTGGAGAATCCAGTGGAACAGGGTTCATTTATTGCAGGAAAGAATGAAGGTGGGATTTTTTGTTTAACATTTATAGACAACTTCTGAGCAAGTATTTAAAAATGTTATACAGCTGTATTTAATGTAGAAAAACCACGTTTTTAGCAGAGTGGAGTTCCTAATGATCACAGAGCCAGTTTTCTCCCAGAATCTTTTAGTTTAGAGAGGAACAAATAAAGTACCTGAAAATGCGCATTTTCCCAATCATAGCACTTAAAGGATTTGTTACAGGCTAGGAAACACCGGATCAAAAAAAGCCTGGCCTCTATAGCAGACTTGCAAAGGAGTCCCAGTAATTTACAAGCTCAGGCATACTTTTTTCTTCTCATAATAATTTTGGAACAATGCTATTTACAAATACTAATATTTTCACTCCTGAGCAGAAGCAAGCTCTTGTCTGCTGTGGCTGGGCAAGGAGAACCACAGTCAAGCACGCCTGTGGTACTCTGCAAATAATAAATAACAATAAAAACAGAAAGACTATGCTATTGGAAGCTCTGTCACTGACTCATAGCAGGTCTGTGAGGTCTATTTAAACTTGCACATAGTCCCTATTATAGCTGAGCAGGCTAATTTACAGTGTGGCTAATAACACTTCCTTTCAAGTAGTACTCTAAAGCCCTTGAATAAGAGATGTTTCATCAAATGTGATTTGCTCATTATATTCATCACCTGACAGTCTGGCTGTGCTCTGTGACGCTGCTTGAGGGACAGCCAGAAGAGAAATCACAGTAGGAGCTGCGTTGATCATTTCAGAGATGGTCTGGCAGGAGACCAGAAACTAGAGTAACAGAGGATGCAGTGGGTCAGAAATGAAGAAGCTGAGCAGATATGCATGAAGAATTTTCCTCTAAACCTTCCACACTGTCCCTGAACTTGGCCAATTTTGGTAATCTCTGATTTTCAGGAACTTTTAAAAATAACTGTTTAATACAGAGTTGGATAGAAATTTTTTTTTTAAATTATAAACAAAAATCAAATCAAAGAAAAATTCCTGTAAGGCAACTAAGCAAGGGAACAAACAAAGGGAGAAACATTTTTTCTCAAACTTTAAAATTAAACTTGCAATTTTTCACCTCTCTCAGTGAAAGCTTGATCTCCTCTCTCCTGGATCCTGCTAAACAGCTCTCCTCCCTCCATGCTGAAACAAAGAACACAAAAAGACCACTCCACGTTACACGAGCAGAAAAGATCAAATTAACACCTGACTGTGCATCCATATAACCGCACAGAACCATGGCAAGAACAGATGGGATTATGGGCTACCTCCTAGGCCAGTGCCTCCTAAACATTACACTCATCTCAATCAATGCACAAAGCCATTCTGAAACAGAATAAATAGAAAACAAAAGAAGATCAAGGAGTTTTGATGTTTTCAGTTTAATGTACCCTGCACAAGGAACATGACACACATAGCTGGGAAGTCAGGAACACTGGCACTAGGAGGTTGACAGGAATTTTGTTTTATATAATGGTTGGAAATAAAGAAGAAAGAAGGAAGCAAAGACACCGAGAAGGACTACTCATTTGTCCACAGTGAAGACGACAATAACTGTGATATTACAGATCAAGGACAAAATAGGAAAAGTAAGAGTCAAAACAGTAGCAAAAAAGATCATGTCAGATCACTGGTTTTACATGTGAAGTTGGAAGCCAGTCACAATTAAAGCACATCATACTTCTAGAGACTTATCTTTCAAGATTGTGTCAATTAGTTAGTGCATTAACGAGGACAATTTTCAGGAAGCACAAGGAAAATCTATTTTCTGGTTAAAGTTGCTCATTCTTCCACCATACAAGATGGCTGGAGCAGCTACACATTTCCCTACCAGTTTCAGAAAGACAACAAAAGGTTTGCTAAGCAAACCAAAATCACACTGCTGAGAGGGCTCACCTAACTCCCCTCTAAGCCAACACACGCTCCCACTCCCTTCAGCCCCTCAAAGAGCAATGCTTGCTGGGGAACTGCTGCTGGTCCATACCATTCCATCACAATGAGGAGGCATCTCTTTCCATGATGTATATTTTCATAAACATCCAGGACATGGACAATGTGGGGACACCCTGATGCTCGCCAGTGATACTCTACTTCCTGACGGGCTTTTGGGTTGTCATACAGGAGCTGTAAAGAAAGAGGAGAGAGCAATGTCAGTGAGCCAGCATCACTCTGCTTTAAAGTGGCACCTACATGCATCTAAGCTCAAAGATGGCGGCAAAGGCTACTCTTAGCACTTTCTCCAGCCAAAGGATGCCAATCCACCACGAGACTTTGACCATCTACAGGCTGTCCAACCTCCTGGATTGAGGAATATAGAAACAACTTGTCCCTTGGAACTTGAAAGACCTGGAGTGGCAGTGAGCAGAAATTTTGAATGTGGGGTAGAGACAGACCTATCCCATCCACCTCTGCATGGGTAAACAGCAATTCCTTTCCTATTTGCTTGCAGTACTCACAAACAGAGGAGAATCCCTCTGCCAAGGACAAAAGCCATCCCACCTGCCCCTCAGCTGCTAGGAGAAGAGACTCCTAGGTGGAATGCAAATCCTTACAGTTCAGTGAGATTCAAAACAATTAGGGCTTTCACATTGGCTCTGAACGTGCTTCTTAAATACTACACAAATTTCTGACCCCATTAGGCTCAGAAAGGGACCTTTGACTATCTAGATGCTTGAACTTCTTTCTCTGTCACGTGCAAGGCCAGTTTGTTTTAAAGGCGCTAATCTCTAGAAGGGAGGTAAGAGCTCATCTTTCCTGATCCTCCAACCTTGTACAAAAGAAATGTGTCCCTTCCCATTTGAAGAACTGCTCTGCATCAGACTCTGCAACTGTGCTTTTGTGTAACAGGGGCACATTGCTGAATCATGCCTTTCCTTCTCTGCCTCATCTCTCTAGACACCACTAACGCTTTGTGACAGAGACTCTCTTTACTGCACATTTATCCGGTTCCTACACAATACGGCTGTGATCCGAGTTTGATACTTTATGCCCTATAGTAATACTCATTGTAATGATGGAGCAGCAACAAAACCAATGCTATATAAAGTAGTGTTAAATGAAATGAAAGAGAATAAAAACCACGGAAAGAATAATCACCTTTGATCTTAGAAAATTATTATAACGGTGGAGGAACTGTTTTCACAGGCAAACAAAAAGTATCGTTGCTGCACTATTAGGCATTAGCCTGAAGCTCTTCTCACTCATGTTTGCTATCAGGCCTCAGCCAAAACACAATGGCATGATAATTGCTGAAAACAAGTATTAACATGTAACCTGTCATTAGGGACCTATGAATCAGCCCAGGAAAACGATACTGCTTTTTCATCCAATTGCCAAGCTATGGCGCAAACTGTGTCTCAGGCACCTCTCAATATAGGGAAACGTGTGACTTAAAGATCACAGGAAGGAAGTCAGAAATTCTGGTTTCTTTATTGACACCACTACAGACCATTTGCAACACTGGAAAGAAAAGCTTCACACTTCTTTGCTGCTTCAACAGCCCTTTCAGCAAAGCAGACACAGTATCATGGCAGGAAAGGCCTGTAAAAGGGCTGGAGAAGTGCTTGCAAACCACTGGACAGAAGGGAAGAGGCTTCTCTTCTTTTCAAGGCTGGGAACAGGAAAAGGGTGACAAGTACTCCTCCGCTGCGTGCGTTGTATTTTTTTGAGGCACAGGAGAGGTTGCAGGAGAAAAGCGGCCTGAGGAGGGCTGCTGGCTCCTAAGCTGAAGGTGCAGGGAGCCTCAGTGCCGCGACCACCCTCCAGGCTCCCTTGGCTCTGCTCCAAATGCTCCAGCATGACACCAGATTTTCAGCGATGCAAGGAGCTGAAGCAGCTTTCTTGCCAAGTTCAATGCCCTCGCAACCAACCTACTTCTTCCACAGCTGTCATTCTGCACCCAGAGCACACCCTTTTGAGATCACTAACCATCCGCCTCTTCCTTCCTGCTCCAGACTGGCTATGGCCTGATTTTCAACACAAACAACTTTCTAAAGAAAGAGAGGGCTCCAATTTGGACAAAAAGCCCATTAGTGAGTCCAAGAGCAGTTGCTTTACTGCTTTCAGCCATCAGCCTATTCAGCAGCTTTTCCCTCACAGCCGCTGTGTTTTAGCTCAGTAGAACTGTCTATCAGCATTTTCCCCTCTGCCCTTCTCAGTCTGGGCTGTTGCCCAGAGGTGTCTTTAAAAGTTCATTAAATTACATGTGCAACAATAAAGCCCAAACACCCTCAGCACTACCCAGGCCATTCAGAAAATCATTATAGGCTTTACTGCTTGGGTATTACTTGATGAACACCACTTCTGAGCAGGACACTTGAAAAACCTTCCCATCTATGCTGTGCTACTGATTAGACATAACCATTCTCTTTACTAACGTTAACTGCATGTCAATCTGTGTGTGTTGTGCTAGCCCAGCGTGCAGAGATGTTGTTTTTCATGTTTGTATCAAGTGCTTATGAAAATCGTGTCACAGAATTCAATTCTCGATCTCTAAAGAGCTTTCACAAGGCATTTTGATACACACAAGGATGCTGCAGTTCTTTTCTCTACCCCTACAAGCAAGTTTCATACACTCTTCAGTGCCAGGCTTGAATGTACTCAAGTCAAGCTGACACCTGGAGAAGCAGTGAAAAGGAAATGCAAAAATAAAGAGCAGATACACATACCAAGGAACATCTGATATATCAACTGTTAACCTTTGGATTTCTCCTTCTGAGTCTCAAAAATAAATTACATCTTTTCCTTATGGCTAGAACTGGAAGCCATAACTATACCTTTTAAGACATCTTAGAGATGCAGACACCTGTAAAACGAAAGCCAGGCTGCACTGAAAGCATCAGTTCCTACAAAATTTAGATGATGATTTAAAAAGACCGAAATTCGAGCACTATGGTTAACAAACTTGCAAAAAGTGTAAGTGAACACTCTGCCACCTTCCTGAGCCTGAAGAGACACTCTGCTTCTGTTGCTGCAGTAACAGCTTTGATAAGACCATGACCAGGTTCCCCTGACATTCTACAAGAGTGCAGAGGTAGCTGTGAACAAACCCAGAGTTTCATGTAAGTTTTCCTGCACGGCGGGTTCACGCTAGTTTGAGGAAAGAGTAGCTTTGTCAAAGAGTACCAGCTCAAGGAGCCTCTGTCATCCCCCTAGAATTCCCACACAGTTCAGCTGACTCACAGCTTGTCACGATGGGCTGTGGGCAGGATCATGAACCTACATAACTTTATAACAAGACAAACCCAGAAAATATGCCCTGTCTCTCAGGTTTTCCTGAAGTCAGGTAAGAGATCTAATGGACAGCAGCCTTTGCATAACAGCAAGGGGATACCCATGCGTGTGGTCAGGCAACACAGTTTGGAACGGGAGCTGCATAGTGGAAAACTGCTTTTGCTGGAGGTCAGCATTACCGAACCACTGCCTGAAAGAAGCAGGCAAAGCAAGTATTAACAATTACTCACAAGGAGATCGCCAAAACCAGAGGTGACAGAAGCCAAGAAACTACAGGAATTATAGAGTGCTAACCCCTCAGGATTCACACAGTTCTTCTTGATATCTGAAAAAGCAGGAGAGGGAGGAGAGCTGCGTCATGGGGGGTGCTCAGCCTGTGCCTGAGGGACAGCGACGCAGATGCCAGCAGACACTCCAGGATGCTCTGCTAACCCAGGGCATGGGGCAGGGGAGGGAGGCCTGAACCTTTTGGTTCCGGGGTAATAGCCTAACTCGGGTCAGCGAGCACCTGCAAAATAAATTCTGAACTGAAGCTTGGAAAGCCAGCTCTGTGAAACTTCTCCCTGAACAGAACTTGATAGAAGGAATAAAAATAAATAAATAAATA